AAATTAGGTTACAATTTTCGAGTTATTAGTCTATCTAAAAGGGAATTTTGAAAGACTATTAAAATTCCTCTCTGCCCTATCTGATACTATAAACAGAATCAGAGTGGATTTATATTATGAGTTTCTTTTTCATATTTTTCACTTTACTAGAACTGAACTGGTTTTACCTCTTTTAATGGTTATTTTATTCTGTTTATTTGATTTTGATGCTGCCCGATTCAATTTTTTTCCAATGTTTACTTTCTTTTGCCAGAACCTACCATTTACCGAAGCTTCTAAATCAGGGCAGTCCCTTCTAACATGTAGTTTAAAGTTTTATTCTAGAAGTTTTAATGCACTGATTCTAGTTTTGCCCTTTGAGCAATAGACAATATATTCACTCTGCATGACAATCCTTCAGATAGTTGAAGACTGTTGTTTATTTATACATCAAATTTATATAGCCACTCATCCCCCACCCCCGCAGGGAACATGACTGTTATTATGTCTGCCAGCTTTTCTGTATTGATATACAAGGAGATTTTAAATGTTCCTCATATACTTTGGTTTTTAGACTTTTCCTCATTGTGCAAGTCTTTTCTAAACTAACTCCATGTGACATCATCCTGTTTGAACTATGTCACCCTTAGGTAGACACAAAAGACATCCTCTGGATCCAATACCTTTGTCAAAATGACAAAAAGAGTGCAGTGTAACCTCTGCTCCTTTGGTATATGTGTGCAATAGAAAAGGGATGCAACAGTGTGTGAGAATGGCCTTTGGAGACAATAGGAACAGTTGTAAATTGGACAACTGATATGTAAAAGATATCTCAGTACACAATAAAGAAGGCATGGAAGTTTCAGAAAGGAGTTTTCCAGAAAGTAAAACCCTTGCAAGAGTTTACTAATATATAACCTTACAATAAAGAAAGAGCTACTATTCACTACTGTGTTTCTTGTAGAGATTGCCTTGAAAGAGGTGCAGAGCTCGCATCATTATGTATGACACTGCTTTGGCCCCTTGATCCCTTCCCCAATGCTCTACTTGGAGAGCAGAGTAGAGTGGTGATCGGGACACGATGTTCTTATTAATGCACCACAAGAAGTACAGTATATGTGCTTTTAACAGTTATGACTCCTTTTGATTCATGTCTAACTGGCAGTCAAAGACATCTACAGTATATTTCCTCTCAAATGCAATATGGGCCAAGCCAGATCTCTGACTTCCTGTATTTATGCCTTAACACTTTTTTTACATGCAAAACTTCACATTTGTCCCCGATAAATTGTCTCCTATTCATCTCATCCCACTGTTCAAGTCTGTCTAGACATTTTCTTCTTCATTTAGACTGTTAGTCACCTCTCCCAGCTTTGTATTACATGCAGACTTTACAAGTATGCTCTCATCTTCTGAACACAAGTCACTTATAAAAATTGAAAAGCATAGGAGCCCATTTAAACTGTGGATGATATGATGAAGTTATATGAAAATTAACATTCAATACACAAAACAAACCATTTCAAAACTGTGTGTGAACTGATGGGCATTTGTCTGAGGTAAGAAATGTGGTTAATCTGTGAGCCCAGAAGAGAAACAAAAGTA